ATAATCAGCAGAGACCACAACTCCAGGAAATGCACCCCTGACTCCGGCAACCCAGGTAGCCCAATTGCAAGCCTTGGAGATTCTATGACTATCTCTATAAAGTTTATTGACGCAAATCATATACCAAAAAGTGAATGTTGTACCCTCCACATCCCGAAGTTTAACCAACTGCACCAACAGAAGTGCCTGATTATCCATCTTAGAAACCTCCTAATTTATAACAAGCAAACTTCGATAATAATGGTAGTCATCTAGAGAGCCAACTTCAACGAGAAATACATTTTTGGGAAAGCTGTTAAGGGAGATTATTGAAAGACACAGCACGTGAGCCAGGTAGCACGGACTCCCTGGCAGCCCCTCACGGAACTGTGCCCCATCTGCACCTGCCTGTAAGTTTTCTAGTTAGAACAGATGAAAGCAATGGTTAGATATCAAGGACAATTCACCACTTTCCCCAGGCTCAACAAGTTACTGGAGGCTCTTAAATTCTGGATGGTGTGAGTCACCACAGATCTATGTTCAGCAAAAGCTGCCTTCCCGCAGCAAACACAGCACAACGGGGCACGCCTACCCCAAGGAAGCCAGGTGCCAAAGGCTCCTACAGGCTGAGAATCAGACATCTCCACCTGAGATATTAAATACATTTAGCAATGTTTAAACGAGATTCCAACCCAAGCCACGAGCCACACGCTGTGCTTACTCTGAAGCACAAAGATTTTTGTCAACAGAATACGTAACATACACATGCAGCCAGTGGACTGCTACCGATATCCAGCACCCAACTAAAGGCCTCTGGGCTCCTCTGAAACCCAGGGCCCACAGTGCTGAAGAAAGCAGGATTAAAAGACCAACCAGACTACTACGGCAGGGAACAACACCAGATGGAACTCTCCAGAAAATGAGGCCCAGAGAGTAGGGTGGGAAGAGTTCCGCGTTCTCTTGTCTTGTTTCTTTATTACACATACAACATAAAACAATATACAAAATGGTTCCCGTGTAAAAGCTAATATTCCCAAACTGACTTTTATACATAGTATGATCTTCTGAGATACCCTCCCCCAAAAATTAAAAAAAAAAAAAAAAAAAAAAAAACCAGACTAGAAGCTCACACCTGTCAGGCCCTGACATCCAGCTGCTCTGGTTGAGGAGTGAAGGAGTCTTGACAGCCCCTCACAGTCGGGTAACCTTTTATATTGCTACGTCCTCCATACCCTTGACCCATTTTTACAGTGTTACATTTGCTTATCCTTGGCCCCACACAGGTGAGGATTTCCAGCCTCCTATCAGTTTGTCCAGACTCCAACGGCGAGAGCCAGACAGCCGTCCTGGAAACACAATCCCAGCTAGTGGAATCCTGTCAGTTGCCCTAGATGAAGCAGTGGATTTCTCTTATCTCTGGAAAGAGATAACACAATCTGCTTCACAGACCTGCAGGGAGAATTAACCTCCCAACCTTAGGGACCTAGCACAGTATGACTCAGAAAAGGAAGTGACAATTTCCAGTCCTCGGGGAGAAGAAAGGGATGACTCTGGGCTTCAGCAAGGGGACATGGAAGAGGTCCCAGGGACCTTGCAGTGAAGAAGTTAGGGACAACAGTATTCTGGTTTTCAGTCTTCAGCTACAAAGTCTGGTTCATACACGTGACAGCTATGAAGAAAATCAGGCAGGCAGTACCAACCATTAGTTCAGTAAGACACAAGTCTTTGCGGTGAGATGCAGCAGCTTTTTAGAGGTGTTTTTGCACACAGAGTGCTAGCTAGCATTTACTCCCATGGAAGACAACTTTTTTCTGAGTGCTAGCCTCAGCTGCGTTTACTATACCTCTCCTCCATCCAGCTGTAAAACATGACTAGCCACTACCTTTTTAATAAAAAAAAAAAAAAAAAAGGAGGAAATTACAAAGCATACTAATTCTTATCAACCACCACTAAAGCTAGAAGCCTTTTTTATAAAATAAATCTAGAATTTGGAAGTAGAAATTCCTCAAGTGTCAGGGAGCAAGGGTAACTCTAAGAGCCATAAGACTTGGGTATGCAGGGGGCTCACATGGCTCCACAAGTATTTCTCATAACGGGCTCTAACACTGATAAATTGATTTAACTGGAAATTTCCATCAAATCAAACATCTGTGACCTCCAAGAAGTCAGCCCCACTATACATGGGTCAGGCTTATTTGAAAAGAATGAGCAACTGCCTTTTTAAATATGGGACTATTCCAGGACAGTCAGGGCTACAGAGAGACCCTGTCTCAAAACAAAACAAAACAAAACAAAAAGCAATAAAGCTGGGCAGTGGTGGCGCGCGCCTTTAATCCCAGCACTCAGGAGGCAGAGGCAGGTGGATCTCAGTGAGTTCGAGGCCAGCTTAGTCTACATACAGAGTGAGCTCCAAGACAGCCAGGGCTGTTTCACAGAGAAACCCTGTCTCAAAAAACAAAAACAAAAAAGTAACAACAATATTAAAAAACAACTATTAAAGTGACAAATCCTTCCAGATATCATGGCTGAACAGTTGAGCCCTGTGACTAGCCTCTGGAGCTTTGGGTCCGGCACGTTTTAACCCAGAAAATCTGATAGGCACACTTTCTAGCAGTGAGGTAGGTCAACGCCAGAAAAAGTTCCCATCATTCCTTTGACAGTCTGCTTCACGCACACTCAGTGCTCAGCATCATGTCCTTCTCAAAGGGACCAACCTGCAACCTGGAGCCAGAAGAGTTAAGGGACAGCGACATTCGGGGCCTACCAGCCAATCTCCTAGGAAACTAAGGCACGACATAGGCACTAAGGCATGACATAGGCAGGCTCCCGTGAGCCATACTATTGAGGAGGTCAATGAGGAATCGCATCCTCACCTTGACTAGGTATTGCTTGGGTATTCTATCTGTCATTCACCATTAAAGTCTAAAGACACATCGGCCAGCCCCACCAGGACCCCAACCCCGGGCAGAGGGGTGCAGATCACCGTCAGAGGACTTCCAATCCAACCCACAGGTGGCAAAGCAGCAGACTTGAAAGTGATCTGGAATGTGCTCCGCCTGGCTCAGGTACGGCTCAGAAACCTCCTCCCACGCCACTTTGCTTTTAGAGAACACACCCTGGGAGTTGCTTTCCTAAGGATGGAAATTCTATTCACTGCACATGTGAGAAGACAGTGCACCGTCTGCTGGTCCCTGCCACCCCAGTGCGCATCAGGCAGCTTCATTCATAATGTGGGGCTTGAAGAGACCCAGGAATTTAACATCTCGCCGCCTGAGACGTTCACTGGACTGCCCACCATGCAGAACCAACTCTCGGACCATTTCAGTGAAAGACTAACCTGTTCATATTAAAATTGTAAGCTGGTGAACAGGAAAATTTCCTGAAAAGAAAAAAATCATCTCAATTTGTGCTAACAATTAGGATTTCTTTAGCAAAGGCAAAAAAAAAAAAAAAATCTTGCATATACATATAGGAATTTGCCCTAATTGGTATATATAATGGGTAGGATATAATTTACATCCACATAGTAAATAGTTTACTATTTCAAAACCACCAAAAAAAAAAATTGCCTCATTACTTAACAATAAAACATTCACTTCCAGCTTGGGACATCCTGAAATTTCCAAAGATCATGAATACAAGGATCAAAGTTGCAGAGAACTTTCCAGCAAAGTAACAGGCTTTAGAAATGATACAATAAATTACTTTTTTTTTTATTTTTTTAAGGCAATTCACAAGCTCAAATCTCTTTCCATGGGGCTAGGGCCTCTCTGACAGACTAGCATACAGATGCCTCCCCACCCCAGCACACAGTGATAAGCCAGAATGCAAGCACTGGGAAGAATCCTAGCACTCAGGAAATGGAGGCAGGAGGATAGGAAGTCCTACATAGCAGCTGGAGACCACTCTGGGATGATTGAGACAGCCCACAAAAACAAAGCCATCCTTTCCAGGTGTGTCGTTATGTACAGGAGAAGCAGAGGTTGCCAATGTAATAATCAATGGCCAGGTGCTTTTGAAACAACAAATCTAAGCCTGAGTTTGGCTCAGGACTGTTTTTCTGGTTTTTATTATCTCCTCTCACTGGAGAAACCTTTCCCTCAAAGGGCCACAGCTAGCCAGCTGGCTAGTTCCCTAATTCGCCAGCATTCAGGTAGCTGCTCCTCCAGGCTCAGAGCCCAGGTAGACTACAGAGGTGAACCCTGGTTGGAGGTGTGGTCACCAACGGGATCAAGAAAGGCAACTTTCAACATGAAACAACCCGGGACCCACGCACAGAGGGATAACCGATTTTTCATTTCATTTTTAAAAAAATGTTCTGTTTACCACCACCTATAAAAGTGTGTGTCTGTTTAGGTTTCTTGTGGTTGTTGTCGTTCTTATGTTATTTTAAAGTAGAGGCAAAACCCTGGAACTGTAAACTAATAAAAGTATCAACCCCATCTCTTAATTAATGACCCATTTGAGAGACTTGGTAAAGTTTCAAAATCTAATTGGGCCTTTAATACGCTTTGCGTAAGACTTGCAATCTCGAAGTTAACTTGGCCTAAAGATGTTACCATTCGCCCCAAGTGGTAAATTCCTTTAAAACGTTTATGAAAAGTTCTAGAACACACACATCAACTCCTTTTAAACTTCATTACCAAAATTGGGATACTGTGCGTCTCAAAAACATTTTTTTAACTGCTTTTTTTTTTCTCTCTCTCTCTTATCTTCCTGTGCCCAGTTCCGGCAAGGAAGGGGGAATTGCACGTTGCCGTCCCGCGCGCGCCCCTCCCCCAGGTCCCCGAGCTCAGCGCCCCGTTGCTCCCAGCCCGCAGCTCCTGCACAGGCGTCCCCACCTGAGCACTGGTGGCAGCGGCCAGGCCTCCAGATTCGGAGTGGCATGGCGAGGAGCCACGCACACACCTGCACTACCCAAGTTCGCAGCACCGTGAGCTCCGCGTGGGCAGCCCCACTCCAGGAATTTGGGCCGCAGAAAGCGGCCGAGGACAGGGGGTCAGGAGTTTGGGAACCCTCACCTGGGAGCGCGTAGCCAGCTCCATCCTCCCTGCCGGGCTCGGCCTGCGCCCTGCACGCGGCCACCCGGGCTGGCGCTGCCCCGAGCACGCAGCGCGCGCGGAGTTTGCCGTGGAGCAGCGCACTGAGTGTAGACGGGGGGACCAAGGCGCGCCGCGCGCTATGCGCAGCCTCGCACAGCCTCGGACCACACGCCCGCACCCGGGCCTCGCCACCTGCGGTCCCTGTCTCGCGGCCTGCGCGGGAGCGCGCCAAGGGTGCGCGCCGCCCGCATCGGCGGGCGTGTGGGCGTGCCCGGGGTTCCCCCCACCGCGCAAGCCCGCGGTGGAGCCGTCCGCCCTGGTTCGCGCGGGAGACTCGAGCTGGGGCTGCACGCGCCGGTACCCGGCTTGAGCGCTCAAGCCGTTCAGCGCCAGTCTTTGGGGCCTCAGGGCCAGGGATCCAGGAGGGTTTGGGGAAGGCTGCGGAGCTGGTTTTGCTCGGTTGTTTGGGAAGGGGCGGAGTCTGCGTGCCTCCAAAACACTGGCTGTCCAGTTCACCCAAGTTTGCTAACCCTGGGCGGAGACCATGGGCACCCTGCACATCACACACTGCTCGCTAGGCCCCATGCTGCTAGCCAGAGCTTCCCAGGAGTGACTAGCATCCACTCGCCGTGGAAACGCTGGAATGGGCCTAAGGACCCAGGAATGAACAAAAGTCCAGTACCCACTAGGTTGGACTTTAGGGTCCAGGAGCCATAACCCACGTACAGGATAATTATGAATATACTGACAATACAAGCGCCATGATGATAATTATGTCATTTTACCACTTAATTTGACGGATAATGGAAATAATTAGTAGTCTAATTCCTACCTCTGATTTAATAATGATAAATGTAATAATGGAAGTGCGCGGACATGCAAACTTGGAACTAGTTAGGTGCCATGAGGGGTTAAAAAAAAGAATTATCAGGGAGATAGGGGGCTGCGAAGACTTAGAGCCCTTAGTCAGAGCGCGAGGCATTTAATGAGCGGGGACAATGGGAGGCTGGAAAGTGAAATGTCTAAAGCTTTAGCATGGGATGGGGTCACGAGGCGGCGGTAGAGCAGCAGCTGCTTGCCTGGGTACCGGTGGGGTAGATAGGTGTGAGCAGAGGTTTTAGCATGACACCGGCAGGAATGAGAGCTCTTGCCAGTGGCGGCGATAGACTACACCACGCTACGACTACACGCTATGACTCGGGAACAGGAGGGGCAACGTTCACACGCAAATTGCTTTAAGAAGTCGAACATTATGGGAGTAACCAACCACTTTATGAGTGATTTAAGGCCTCAAGACCCATGCCTGGTGCCACTGCTGGGCCAAGAACCTGTGACTAGACAGGCCATTAGACCCTAAGGGGGAACCTACTGTTGTTATTCTGCTAAGTGGACATGGTATTAAACAGATCCAAGTGATCTGTTGTTATACGCACAGATAATGCATCTCTCCACCGGCACCAAAGAAGCTTCTGTTTGCAGTAGACGGTGACTAGCAGAGACCTACAACTGGACAAGGTGCAGAGAACAAGAAGGTGTAGAAATATCCAGTCCTAAATGAGCATCTGTATAGCATTACTCCTCCTCAGGCTTGGGGGGGGGGTGTCATTGCAGAAGATGGGGGAGTAAGATTGTAGGGGCCAGAGACTGGATGACACAACAGGGCAGCCGCACATACGAATTCAGAGTAGATGTGACAGCATGCACAAGCCTGTACAAGCTCAGGCCAGACCAAATCCCAGCACGGCAAGGGGAGGTGGTCAGGCAGACTTACCCCCTAGCTGAGGAGCTATTAGCAACTGAAAGCTGCCAGGAGGGAGAGAGGAGTCAGTTTTAAGTACCTGCTCCAGTGGAATGCCACACCTCATCCATGAATATACAGGGCAGGACAAGACGGGGAGAAAGAACACAGATTTGTGTGGGTAGGAAAAGTGGCAGGTGCATGTGGGGGTATGGCCAAAATACATTATGCAAAATTCTCAAAGGATAAGAATTTCTTTTTCAGAGAGTCTCTGGATGAAGTCTGTGGTTATTGGCTTTGAAATGTTTCTTTAACAAGAGATCTGCTGCTCATGCAGAGGACCCAGGTTTGGTTCCCAGCACCCCCGTAGTGACTCACAGCCATCTCTAATTCCGGTTTTAAGGTGTTTGGTGTCTTTGCTACTGTTCTGTTTCTGCGGGGGGGGGGGGGGGGAACGCCATGACCAAGGCCACTATAACAGAAAGTGTTTAATTAGGGATTTGCTTACAGCTTCAGAGGTTTAATCCATTATCATCATGGCAGGAAACATTGGGCCATACAGGCAGGTGCTAGAACAGTAATGTTGACCCATGGGAGGTGAGGAGGGAGGGAGGGAGGGAGAGAGAGAGAAAGACTCTGGGCTTGGTATGGGATTTTGAAACCTCGCCCCCCAGTGACACACTTCCTCCAACAAGGGTGTACCTCCTAGTCCTTTCTATTCCTTTCAGATAGTGCCTTTGCCTGGTGACTAAGCATTCAAATATATGAGCCTATGAGGACCATTCTTATTCAACCCACATATTTCAGCCCAACCTTCAAAAGTCCTCGTAGTTTATCACAGCCTTGACTTGTTTAAAAGTCCAAAGTCTCTTCTGAGACTGACAGCAATCCCCTAAGGGCAGCCCCCAGTAAAACCAAAATAAAAAAGCAGATCACATACTTTCAATAAACAATAACAAGGACATATATTTCTATTCCAAAACAGAGGAAAGGGACCAAAGCATGATCCAAAACCAGGATGGGGCAAACTCCAAATTCTCAACTCCATGGCTGATGTCAAAGCGCGCTCTTCAGAACTCTGACCCCTTCCAGCTTTGCTGACTGAAACATACTTTTCCCCCTTGGGCTGGCTCCACACACTGGTAGCAGTTCTCTGGCAGGTGACCCACAACTCTGGCACCCCCAATATCTTGGGATTTCCCACAGTAATCCAGGCTCCAACTTCATAGCTTCACACAACGGCCTTCATGCAGAGACACACCCGGCCTCAGAGTCTTTCCCTGGCCATGAAGACAGACTCCACAATCCCTTTATTGTATCCTTAACTCTAAAGCCAGAACCACATGGGAAATGCTGCCAAGTACTGCTCCTTGCTTGGCCCTCTGGGGACCATTTTTATTCAAACCACCACAGGATCTGGTACCCTTTTCTGGTCTCTGCTGTCACTGCATGCAAGTGGTGAGCACACACAACACACACACACACAACACACACACATACACCACACATACCAACACACACACACACTCACACACACACAGAGGCAAAGCATTCGGACACAAAATAATCTTTTAAAAACATGTAAGAGAAAAGAAGCTGTCCGAAACTCTTTGGATGAGTGAGGTAAGAGGCTTGGCATGAGAATATGCCATCCACAAACTTGTCACTCTGCCACACTTCAAAGGCACTTTATAGACAGCAGGTGCAAGAAGATCAACTGCCCGTTCCCTGAACTTACCGGTGAGAGATGCTATTTATTCCCTTTGAGAGACACCTCCCTGTGTGAGAGGAAAGCAAGGTCCTTATCAAGGGCAGGAAACTGAAGCTAAGGGAAATCTGGTCAGAACAACCTTAGCAGAATTACTTAACTCTTATCTTTGTAGCCACTGCAATCAATTAACTAGTATGCCCTGGGCCCTTCCTATCAGATTTTCACATTTTGGCAATGTCCAAGGCAGCATGGAAAACTTTGTCCGAATTTCTATGAAGTAAAACTCTGTGGTTTTCTCCCATTCATCTGTCTTACGTCCGTTTAACTCATAGGCCCCTGCCGGGCCTTTTGAGCTGCTAACTCAGCCCGTGGTGTTTGTAAAAGAAGTTTACACAGTTCTGACTTGGTTAACTGAAAGCTTAGTCGTGGGTGTTACATGGCCATTTTCTCCAAACAGAAGTACCCTCTTCTTGAGGGACGTGGGATACTCCTCTAAGACTCAAGAAGCCGAGGGAGCTTACATGCAAGGCCCAGGATGCCAGAAAGTGAGAAGGTTCTTATGGGTCTTCCCCAAGATTAAATGAGCACTAATGATTGCTAAAGAGGAGACACTGGGCATGCATGCAGGGAACGCTTGGGCTTGGCTTTTTTCACTGATGCAGCTGTCTTTGAGCCCTCCAGGATCCTATAAACACCTGAGCCGCTTCACTTAATTACTTCTGTAACTCCAGTCAGCTTGGATCATCAAGTTAGACATAAATGGGACGATTTCTTTGGTTTTTAGTGTCCTATCTGAAGTAAAGATCCATTTGTTTATATCACTCCAGGAACAGTGACCCCCCACAGTCTATGCTGCTATAACGGAGTTTAACTGTGGTGCCCCTGACAATTCAGCAAAGAATTCACCTCTGACAGAGAGAGCTGGAGGCCATCTGGGAAATAGCCCAGTTTTCCTTGGCACATTCGTATTTGTCATGAATACATAAAACAGCATCCAGATAGCATCTGGATGCTCACTACCGCTGAGGCTCTTGAAAAGTCCAACTCCTTGTGATTGAACAAGATCTAGCATAGGAAAGGGAGGCAGCCCTAAATGGAAGATGCTCACAGGTAATCCCCCAACTTATGCGGGGTCATCCATCCAGACATAAGTCTTTTGTAGCAAATTCATAACCAAACAATGGCTAGGTACCATGACCAAAGAGCAGGTTGGGGAGGAGAGGGTTTACTTGGCTTACACTTCAGCATTGCTGTTCATCAGTGAAGGAAGTCAGGACAGGAACTCAAGCAGAGCAGGATCCGGGAAGCAGGAGCCGATGCAGAGGTCATGGAGGAACGCTGCTTACTGGCTTACTTCCCATGGCTTGCTCAGCCTGCTTCCTCATAGAACCCAGGACCACCAGCCCAGGGATGGCACCTCCCACCATGGGCTGGGTCCTCCCGCATTGATTGCTAATTGAGAAAATGCCTTACAGTGGATCTCATGGAGGCATTTCCTCAGCTGAGGCTCCTTCCTCTGATGACTCTATAGCTTGTGTCAAGATGACACTCAGAACCTTCTAGAAGCATGTAGGGAGAATAATCATACCCTCCTCACCTGAGGTTCAAGCCACTCTTTCCACGTGTGTACAATTCTTCTCAAGTTTAATATGGTCTCATGGGCTCAACAGGTCCACTGAAGGATGACTTCTAACTCCACATTCAGCTGTGGTCATGTCCTCATCCAAGCTAGGTGGTGTGGCTGCTTTGGGGTTGTCCCTGCTTTTGTAAGTAAACCAGATAAACTCATTT